TTTCTGTATACTAATTTTTATAGACTGTATATGTAAAAAAATATTTTCTTTCATTTTGAGGATGGTATTTTCACTCTCGATGCGATGTATTTTGCTGAGTGGAAGAACTTATTTTAATGTAGAGAGATTTGGTGATCATCTTCCTCTATGTTAGTGTTTTTGGTATCTAAGAGCTCTTTTTCTACCCCAAAGCCATAAAAGAATTCTACTATACTGTTTTATGAAAGGTTTATAGATTTGCCTTTCACATTTAAGTCCTTAAACTACTTGGAATTAATTTTTGTGTGGTATGAGATAAACTCCATTTCATTTTTTCATATTGTGAAAAGCTATAACTTTCCACTCATGAACTTTGAACTGAACTTCTGTACCTAAAGGCAGCTCTAGGAATTGAGAAGAGTAAGTGGTTACCAGAAATTCCAAGGAGCAATAAATTCCAAGGAGCAAAATCAGATTCTGAACAATGACCACCTGAGCCAGCCGACCATAAAAAGGCACGGGAACGTTGAGAACAGATGAGCTATGTGAGCATCCATCCTCTGAGTCAGCTGCCTTGCCTCCAGTATTTTTCCACTCTGAGTTTTGCCTCAGTAAACACTTTAACTAAATTTTGCTTAAGGAACCCCTCTCTTCAGCTCTTCTGATTGCAGTGGCTTGGATAAAGTGATTACTTCACCTCTCATTAGTCTCAGTTTCTGTTATGAATACCACTATTTAGTGACAGCCTGTCCTTTCCCTGAGGCTATGCAACACCAGCTCTGTCATCTTATCAAGTATCTGCATGTGCACAGGTCTCCCCCTGCCCCCCCCTTCCACCCATCCATTATTCTGTCCTTCTCAGTTACCATAGCTTTGTTACAGGTCTTGTAATCTGGAAAGCAGATTCCTCCATTTGGTTCTCGTAGAGTGCTCTGGCTTTATTCTTGCTTGCTATAATTCCACACATATTTTTAAATTAAATTGGCAAGTTTCACAAAACAAACATATCTGTGGAGGTTTTTGTCAAAATTGCATTAACTCTCTAATACTGCACACTACTGAACGGGTCATGGAGGAATTGACATCTTAAAGAAATGGAGTCTTAAAAATTATGAGCATGATTCAGCTCTTCATTTTTAGCTCTTCTTTAGCAGATACCAATAGTCTCATAATTCTATCCATACAGTACATGTGTATCGTTTATTATTCCTAGATATTTGGTAGTTTTAGATGTCATAAGGAAATGATAGCTTTTTAAATTATATTTTTCCTGTTGTTGATGTATAGAAATACATTTGATTGTAGCAGTCAGGTTGATAATAGAGTTTACTAATTTTAGTAATTCATCTGTAGATTTTAAAATACACAGACAATACTGTATCTGGTGGTAATGACCATTTTCCTTCTTTCTTCCCAATCTTCACATCTTTGCTCATTTATTTTTGCCCTACTATGCTTGACAGAACATATAATACAATGCAACAATGTAGTTATAGAGGCATCTTTCTCTTGTTCAAAATCTTAAAGACGCATTCAGTTTCTCACCTCTAAGTAATTTGTCATAGATTGTTAACAAATAGCTTTTAAAACTCAAGTTAAGAATGGTTCCTTCTATGCCTGGTTTGTTAGAAGTTTTTTTTTTAAGTCATGAGATGTTGAATTACATTAAATATTTTTCACCCATTGAAATGAGTTTTCCTGCTAACACTGCAAACTGAATTAACACTTTTCTAGTTTTAAGATAATCTTGAATTCCAGTACCCGAAAATTTTGGTCCAGTTTGGATGCCTGTGGTTTCTGCTGGATTTTGTTTATGGGACCTTGTTTCCTTGTTTATTCACTCGGTTTTTCATTTCGTTTTTATAGTGAGCTTCACATTTCCTTAGCAAACATGTACAGAATTTAAGAGCTGGTACCAATGAAGACTCCTCCAGAAAAGACTTGTTTTGCTCTGCACTATCAGTCAAGGAATCACTAAATCTATCCACTTAATGTTTGTCGGGTAATTCCAGCAGTGTGACTTCAGAGTGTTGATCAGTGCAGGGGCCAACCCGTACTTACACATGTTCAGAGGACAGTTGTTGGTTTGGTTTGGTTTGGTTGATCCCTCACGGTGGGTTCAATCAGTAATGCTGTAGAAAATAGATTGGGGGCTGCCAAGGTTTGGGAATGGGAAGCGACTGTGAATGGGTAATGAGGTTTCCCTTCGGGATGAGAAAAAAGATGTTCTCAAATTAGTCTACAGTCTGGATGTTAATGTTCCTCTAAAATCCATATGGTGGGCCGTGTGTGGTGGCGCACGCCTGTAATCCCAGAATTTAGGAGGCTGAGGCAGGAGGGCACCTCGAGTTCTAACTACATAGTGAGTTCAAGGCCAGCCTGCACTCCATAATGAAACCTTGTCTCCAAAATAAACAAACCTCAGAAAAACAAAATTCGTATGATGAAATTTAGTCCCCAAATGTAATGGAATTAAGAAGTGAGGGCTTTGGAAAGTACAGAGTGAGAAATTAGAACCCTCCCACTGTGCGAGGACTCCCCGAGCAGGCTGCATCTGTGGCAGAAGGGCCACTAGATACTGGATCTGCCAGCACCTTGGTCTTGGACTTTCCATACTCCAGAACCGTGAGAAATTTCTGTTGTTAATAAGCTACACAGTTTACAGCATTTTGCTACAATATCCCAAATGGACAAAGACAAATTATATAGTACTGATGGTTGCACAGCTTTGTGACTATACTAAAAGCAGCTGAGATGTTCACTCCAAATGGGTGAATTTTATGGTATGTAATAATTATTTCAGTTTTTAGGATAAGTATTTGTTCCATCAGAGTAATGCAATTTATTAAATTGTATTCCAAATTGCTAATGTGTTTGAGTGTCTTTCCATAACTTTATTGTACTTCTTATTTCTTATTTTTATATTGCCTGCTCATACTCTTTATCCTGTCTGTGCTTTTCCTTACTTCAAGAGTTACTTACATATATTAATCTTTCATCCATCATATCCTTCAAATAAATTCCCTACTTTATCTTATGACCATAATTTTATTTATGAGGTTTTTTGCAGTACTTGGTATTGAACCCAGGGTCTTCACACTGAGCCACATCACCAGTCTTTATAAAAAATTGTTCTAGACGGGGATTTGCTAAATTGTCCAAGCTAGACTTCCACTTGCGATCCTGGCTGAGCCTCCCAGAGTGCTGAGATTATAGGCATGTGTTCCCTACCATGCCCGGTTGCACAGATGTCTTCATAGAGCTTGTGAGGAAAGTACTCTAGTTTGGAATAGCCCTTCGAGGGAATGAATTGCAAGTTGAATCCTTCAATAAGGTAGCGATCTCCTAAGACGTACAGGGGATTGGTACAGCTAGCTACAGTCTGAACCCTAATGCTCTTGGCCATCACTCCTTACACGTGCCCCTCCTCCTCCTCAGCCAGGACTTTAATGGACTTGGTTGCTTGTCCATTAGGAATTTCAGTCGCCTGTTTCTCTACTGGATTGTTTGTGTTTTTGTTATTAATTTCTAGTCTTTTATGTTGTTATGATAGGAATCCTCTGACACTTGTATACTGAAAATATTTTCTCTTAATGTATATCCGGGTTGTTTTTTATTTTTGCTCATCATCATGTCTTTTAATGAAAAAAATTCTTAATGTCAACGTCAAATGTTCTATTTTGTAGTCCATGGTTTGTCTGCATTGTTTATTAGTATATTCTGTAGTGTTTATGAAATCTTTTTTCCAAAGGCTAGAAATTCTTCACCTATGTTTTCTGTAACGATCTTTAAGGGTATGTTTTTGGCATGAAGTGCTTAGTTCATTATTAGTTTGCATATCATGTGAATGAACACCTTGATCTCTTTCACTATAAATACCCATTTTCTAGCTTTAGTTAGTGAAGAGTCCTTCATTATTTACCTAATATGCTACTTCTGTCATGTAACCCAGTTTTATATGCGCGGGTGTTATTTCTGAGCACTGTAATCTATATTGTTGCTCAAAGCCCACGCATACATCAGTATCACAGACTCCCTCCCTCCCTCTCTCCTGGTGGTCTAGGAAGTCATCAATCACTGGAAGTCAGCTTCTTAAGAGAAAACTGGGCGATGCAGCCCCTAAACTTTTACTCTTGGTTTCTCTCCCCGTGGCTACGAGCTCTGCTCAGAGAGATCTGAGTAAGATTCCAGGGAGGAACCTAATAGTGTGAGGCTACTATCTTGGGGTAAGGGGCCCGGGAATCCGGAGTCCAGTAAGAATTTGCTTTGTTCACAAAGCCTTCCAGCATTATGACTTCTGTTTTTGTTTCTTTTTTTCTTTCTTCCTGGTTTTTTGTTTTTTGAGACAGGGTCTCACTTTGCAGGGCTGGCTGGCCTTCAACTGACTTTATAGCTGATCGCTTGCTGCAATCCTCCTGCCTCAGCCTCCTGAATGTTGGAATTACAGGAGTCTGCCACCATGCCTGGTTGTTTCCGTTTCTAAGGGATCCTTTTAAAGATTACTAAGCAATGTCTGCTGGGTTTGTTTTCATTGTCCCCTAAAAATTGTGTGGCACCAACAGCAGGAGAACTGGCCTGCGATAAGAGCCACCGATTTGCTCTCGAGGGCAGTCAAGTCCTCCAGGCATTTCCACAGCGCTAGACCTGGGAGGGTGCGTTGGCCCTGCAGCGGCCGCATCGATCAGCCAGGAAAGCCTAGAGCGTGCCGACCTCCCACACCCTTCAAGCTCCACCAAAGCTGCCGATTCCGGCGTCCTGCGGTTTCCCGATTGTCTGGGACGCCCGGGGGTCGCCTGGGCAAGGAGCTGAGGGACAGCCCTCCTGACACACGGCCCGCAAACCTCCGGGTCTCGGCCTCCAGCGCTGCCCTCCAGCCCTGCCCTCCAGCCCTCCAGGGAGGCTTCTGGCGGCGCGGGCGGAGGCGGAAGCGGAGGCGGGGGCGGGGGCGGCCTGGGGGCGGGGCGGAGCGTGGGAGGAGCTCGGCACCGCCCTCTAGGCGCCCAGCCCGCGGGCTGGTGACGGTGCTGCCGCGCCGCGTCTCCGCCACCCCTGCCGCCTCCGCTGCCTCCGCCGCCCTGCAGGGCCCCCGCTCCCAACGGCGCCGGCCCGCGTCCCACGTCCCGGAGTCCCGGCTGCTGCGAGATGACGCTCAAGTCCGGCGAGGGCGAGGGCGGGGGCGGCATGCGCTCGGCGCTCTCCGATCTCTACCTGGAGCACTTGCTGCAGAAGCGCAGCCGGCCCGAGGTGAGCGGCCCCGTGGGTCCCCAGGGTGGGGGGCCTTAGCGCGAACCCCGGGCCTCGCCCTGTGCCGCGGGGCTCCTCAGCCGCGGCCTCGGCCCCGAGAGGTCTGTCACCGGAGGGCCGCGTTCGGGGGTCGTGGCCCCAGGCGGAAGCCTGGGCGGCCAGCAGGGTGGGGACCCGGCCAGCGCCCCGCTGGGCTCTGCTGGGCCCAGGGCCCGTGAGCTTTGGCCACAGCGTCTCATCCCTGTGGGGATCGGAGAGGCTGTGGCGGGACCCAGCACCGGTCGAGGTCAGGGCAAACTTGCCCGTGGACGGAAGTCAGCAGCGGAAAGACTTGCGGGGACACGTCCTGGAGGAGGTCGGCCTGCTTGTTGTTGCAGTGCTTGTGTCAGTCACCAGCGCGGGCTCACCGCGTCCCCTGGGCTGGGGGCAGATGGGGTGGCCTGTGTGGGTTTACCGGGAGGACAAGGAAAGCACGCGTTTTGGAGGCAGCTCTGGCCTCCAGGTTCCAGGGATGCCTCTAAACAGCCATGAACCTGTCCTTACTCCTTGAGGGGGAGGCTGCGGTTTGCTTTCAGCCCCCTGCCGCCCCAGATTGGAGCGCCCCCCACTTACCCCCGCCAGCTGTCCCCCGCCTCTGGGAGTCATGGAAGTGCTCGGAGTAAAGCGAAGCTGGCATCAGGGTGGACAGACACCGCTACCGCTACCGAGCAGTACCTGTTGGTTAGAGCACTCAAATGTGAGGCTTGATGATGCTGTTGCAGGAAGATGAAGCAGAGAAGGCCTTACGGGGAAGGTGACTCGAGTGAAACCCTATTATGTTTTTCTCATTTATCGCTCTTTATGTGACGGGAAGAGGAAGAAGCAGAGAATCAGAAAGACGCTCCATGTGACGAAAGTTGCAACCTAGTTCCCTAATCCAGGGGCTTGATTTCCTCTCCCCCACACCTCTGGCGTCACTTCCCCTCCCCCAGCCCACTTTGGAACTAGCTCATTTCATCTTGCCTTCCTATGCGCCACACTCGGCGTCCTTTTTTAGCAACACGGAAAGATTGGAGCAATTCCCTGCTTAAGAGGAAAAGATCTCCATATTAGTGAAATGTCAGCTGATTTCAGTCTTCCTGGCTGGCAACATCTCAGGACGACTTTGATTGTCACAACTGGGTGGGGCTAGTTTTCACGGCAAAGAATTATCAGGCTCAAAATGTCAGTATCACTGAGGGAAATATCTGTTCCTGAGTTCATTGTCTTCTCTAGGGAGAACAAATAAGGTAGAAAAAAACCAGAATTATTGAAGCTGAGTGTGGTGCCACATTCTTGTAATCTCAGCTACTCAGGAGGCTGAGGCAGGAGGATCATACATTCCAGACCAGTGTAGGCAACTTAGAGAGACCCTGTCTCAAAATAAAAAAAGGGCTGAGGTTATGGATCGGTGGTACAGCACCCCTGGGTTCATTTTATCTGCAAGGAATACTAATTCTTTCTAGCTTGAGGAAAAAAATCATAAAGGTCTTGGAAATGGAGGACAGAAAAGGAGGAAAACAGACTTGAGACCATACCACAAACTGGGAAAATTGGGAAGAGGAATAAATAATTTTTAAATTGTACCTTACTTTCTAAGATACATTATGTAAAAAAGAAAAACCTTGAATGGAAATAGCCCATCCTCATATGAAACAACCAGACTAGGCACAGTGGTGTGTGCCTATAATCCCAGTGCTCTGGGAGGCAGAGGCAGGAGGGTCACAAGTTCAAACCAGCCTGTGCAACTTAACCAGATAAATAAATAATAATAAAGACGGGTGATGTAGCTCAGTGCAGAGGTCTCAGTCAGAAAAAAAATTCTTTCTCAGACAAAGTAATAAGTAATTGGCAGCACAGGCTTGGCTTCCTGCGCACATAGAACATGTCGTATTCCGCAGTCACCTACTGGGTCTTTGCCACTTGAGGCAGAGCTGGGCGCCCTTCACTGCTTCACAGCACTCTACACCTTCTTGGGAGGAAACATCTGCAGCAGGGTTCAAAGGGCAGAGGCAGTTGCTCAAAGGAAGTTGGAATAAAAAAACAACATGAAAAACAAACTTGGCCTCGGGCGGGGGTAGAATGAGCAAATAAGGTTGGATTTCTCACACAAACACTGGGCTTCAGAGCAGGTGACGGTGAGCCACTGAACAGAGGAGAGAGCAAATATTTGTTCAGCCTACTGTTGGGCTCTCTGCCAACCCCTTCCACAGGGAAACTTAGAAGGCTCAAGCCTAGAAGCCAAGCAGACCCCCAGACGGCAGATCCTGAGGGCAGCCCACAACACCTGCCAGCCTTGTGCAGCGCCCTGGCCCGGCAACACACAGGTGCCCGCTCCTTGCGTGGGCCAGATCCTGTTCAGTCTGGGACACACACAAGGAAACTATGAGAAGCCCGGGAGGCTCCGAGGAATTAGCAGCACTGTGTGACCACAGCTGATAACAGCTGGGCGAGAGGAGGGCCTGGATTTAATGAGCGACACTGTTACACACAGTCCCGGCCCTGGTTTGATGGGATCTGAACGTGCAGGCCTGTGTTCTCCTCTGAAGAATGGCGCTACTTGGGTTTCCTGTTTTTCTTCAGAAGGAGAGACCTTTGCAGGCATGTGGAGTACACTGGTAGATAAAGCACACTGGAAAAGGATCTTTAGACACTTGGTCTTTGGACTGATGGATGTGCTCTCAGGTGGATTTAGTGCCTGGGAAACAGCGCCTAGTTAAAGTATGATTTTCAGATAGTGCCTGCCAGAAAGTCCTGGGTCTCGGGCCCTCCTCTCGCCCAGCTGTTATCAGCTGTGGTCACACAGTGCTGACTGCTAATTCCTCAGAGCCTCCCGGGCTTCTCATAGTTTCCTTGTGTGTGTCCCAGACTGGACAGGATCTGGCCCACGCAAGGAGCGGGCACCTGTGTGTCCCAGGGCCGGGGTGCTGCACGACAAGGCGGGCAGGTGTTGTTTTTAGTCTTTGCACTGAGCTACATCCTCACCCCCACCCCTTTTAATTTTTTTTATTTCTTTGAGGCAGAGTCGTGCTACGTAGCCCAGGCTGGCCTCGAACTCGCAGTGCTCCTCCTCCTGCCGCAGCCTCCCGAGTGCTGGGATCACAGGCAGCACCACCACAGCCAGCCAAAATCAAATTCTTATCTCCACTTTTTGATTGATATTTGGAGGTTTACAAACCTGTCTGAGCTGAAAGGACTAGTAAGTCACAAGTACAGACTTCAGAGTTTGTGAGGGTTCAAAGAGAACATGATATAGCATATATAAATAGAACAGATTTGTGGCCATTGGTTTGCACTTCTGTTTTGCTGGTTATTCTTGGAACTGTATATGTTTATTCCTTGATTTCCTGTCCAGCCAGTGCTAGTGCCAGTAAAACTTCTTTTTTGATGCCAAGTTTAGTGGCCCTTTCTCTTTATTTCTTTTCTTTATACCTTCAGTCTCTTATCACGTATGTGTCTATCTTAATATCATCACGGTGCTGATGTTTGCAGTCTGTTCTTTACCTATAACTGTTTTAGGATTTCTCAATGAGAGGATTCAAAACAATGAAAATTAGCCGGGCATGGTTGTGCACACCTGTCATCCCAGCACTTGGGAGGTTGAGGCAGGAAGATCGCTGAAAGTTTGAGGCTAACCTGGCTACATCGTGAGTTGAAGGCCAGCCTGAACTGCATAGCAAGAAAGGTCTGCAGAGCCCTGCTCCTGTTTGGAATGGCCTCATGGGCACAGCTCAGGGTGGCCATGCCCCACAGTGCTGGCCAGTGATGCAGGAAGAGGCATCCTTGGGGAGTTTGGGGATGGATGCCATGGCCAGGCCTTTCTTCCCTGTGTTGAAAATGGAGCTGACCCCAAGCTTGCATTCTGCACAGCAGTGCAGTTCTCTGCCCGGTCCCTGTGCACATCCTGGGCTTGAGCTGTCAGCTCTTCGGGATCAGTGTCCGTCCCCTCATCTCTTTCTGCCCAGTTACTTAGGACAAGCCTGTATGTCAGAACGGAAAGCATTGTATTTTGTCAAGCTTTTAGGAATAAGAAGCTTTCTTTTGCCTGATTAGAAATGAATCATTGTGACCTAAATGTGAAGGGGTGCATGAAATTTTGAATACTGAGCATTTTCTTTAGCAGCATTTTTCAGGATTGGCAGATCTGTGCAGCATGTTACTAGCCATGACCTACAGTGGCTGAGTGCTTCTAGGCATTATGCTGAGCACATGTACATCACAACTCTATGCAATCATTCTGTTACTGGCCTCATCTTAGTTGAGGAAATGGAAGCACAAGGTCAGGATTCTTGCCCCAGAGTTAACCAGCTATTAGTAAAGAGCCAGTATCTAACTCAAACAGTATATATATTTCTGTTAAGGGGCACCCCCCAGATTTCTAACTTGTGCTTTTGTTCTTTATGATTTCTTTCATTAAAGCAGTGCTAGTATCTAGTACATGATTTGAGAGGTTTGATGATACTGCAGCAGCAACTTCCTTCTCGCCTAGTCATGTACCTACTCAACTCATGTCCCTAGAAGCAACCACAACTTCTTAAGTTTCCTTCCAGTAACAGTCTCAAACACGAATATGTTCATTTTCTCACTGTTTATAATGATGCTAGTATACTTGTTCTTGCATTGGTTTTTTTTATGCTCAACAATGTGCCTTCAAGAAGACTTCCGAAACTCCTTGTCACGGCGACATAGTGTCTCCCCGTTGAGTGTTAACTGAATCATTGAATGCTCTATTGTAGAGTACCTAGGAATTATGTGAAGTTCTGTAGTCTAGGTATCTATCCTAGGTCAGTTTTCAAATCACTACCTTATTTTAGACAATATTTTTAAAACTCAGTGTCATCTGACTGGGTGTCATGTGAGTTTTGAGAAGTTCTAGCTGCTAGCCAAGGCAGTGTCTCTTTCTCAGCACCGCCCGCCTCTGGGGTCACGCAGTCAGTAACACTACTTCAAACCTCACTATCTCCTTGCGGGCTCTACCGACCTCCTGGAGAAGATTCAGTGAATTCGAGTCAAGGTGTTCTATGGGTCATGTGTTTGTGTTCTAGACTTCCTCATCTCCCACCTTCCTGTCCACATCTCTCTGGGCTCATAGCTGGGCCTTTGGACCCTTCCCGGAAGTAGATATTCCCACCCAGGGCTTCTTTGCCAAGTGAGAGACGAGGTACACTCCTCACAGATCTGCCTTCTGAGAGGACCGGCCCTCCCCACTGTCCTTGTGGGTCACCCCTGCATGTGACCGGAATGCAGTGGCCATCAGTTTTTAACTTGTGCCCCAATACCAAACTGACCCTAGCTCAGGCCTGTTCCTCCTTCCCCCGGCAGCCACATTGATTTTTATTTAATATTTTACCTGGGATGGGTAGGGAGCATCTGCAGAGGATTCCATGTGGCCTTCCCTGCTGTGAGAACTCTCACCTCAAGCCCTGGTTTCAAGGAGAAGAGAGCGATTGCGCCTGTGGATTTCATGCATGTAGTGCTTTGGGCATTTAAGAACAGCGATGCTATGTGGGGTTGCTGCCAAGAATGCATAGCCTCAGTCTAATGATGGCAAAACAGCAGACAAACACAAATGGAGAAACATGTACAAAACAATAGGTCCGCCCTTCAAAATGTCAAGGCCATGAAAGTCAGAGACTGAGGAACTTTACCAAATTAAGGAAAACTGAAGAGATAAGAAAATCCCATGATCCTAGATTGGATCCTGGCTTGTAGGAGAAGATACAGCTACCAAGGCCATTATTGGGACCCTTGGTGATAATATTATATAAATGATCAATGTTTTCAGTATGGAGAATGTTCCTGTTCCTAGAAAACATACAGAAGCGTTTATGGGTTACTAAGCCAACAGTTCAGAACTCCAGTTTTATAACATTACGAGAAGAGGGCTACAGCGACATTGCAGCGCACCTATTGGCTCATGTGGTAGAGATCTGCGTGATCTCCCCAGTTTACACACCCACCTGCAGGTCTGAGCGCTCCAGCCACCTGCTGCATGCCTTGCCTTCTTACTCTTGATGCCATTTCCAGTGTTTTGCTTGAAAAATTTCAAAGTTACTGAGAAAATGAAAGAATTTTATCATCCATATAGTCATAACTCAGGTTCTACACTTAACATGTTTCTATGTTTGTTTTGTCACCTGTGTGTCCCGAATCATCCATCCTGCTTTTTTGTGGTGCAAAGCATTATTGAACTCAAAGCCTCATGCGTGCTAGGCAAGTGTTCTGCCACTGAGCCACGTCTCCAGCTCTTTCTATTTTTTTTTAAATTTTGAGACAGCATCTTGCTAAATTTTCAGACTAGCCTCAAACTTGCTACAATCCTCCCGCCTCATCCTTCCAAGTTGCTGGGACTACAGGTGTGTGCTACCACACCTGCTTGTTGTTTGCTTTTTTTTTCAGGGTGGGGGTCGCATTTTAAAATAAGTTGCAGATATTGTAGCACTTAAGAGCCTTGGCATGCATATCATTGGCTAGAGTTCAATATTTGCTTATGGGTTATTTTGAGGTAAAATTTACATGCTGCGAAATGCACAAATATTAAGTGCACAATTGGATGAAATGCATAAATCTGTGTAATTCAACCCCCTGTCATGATACAGAATATTATCAGCATCCCCCAAAGTTCTTCTGCACCCCTTCCCAGCCAGCCCTTCCCACAGCCCATTAGAGGCAACCACTGTTTTAATTTTTTACAATAGTTTCGCTTGTTCTAAAAATCTTATATAAACCCTATCATATGGTATGTACTCTTTTTCATAAGTCTTCTTTCACTGCACATAACTTTTCTGAGATTTACCCATATTGCATATATTGATAGTTCGATCCTTTTCATGCCAAATAGTATTCAGAGCTGGTTTATATAACTGCATTCCACAGTGGCTGTGCCGTTTAACATCCCCACCAGCAGTGAGTGAGAGTCCCAGTACTTGGTATCTTTCTTCTGTCTTGTTCATTTTAGCCATTGTAGTGGGTGTGCCATGGTAGCCTGTTGTGGTTTTAATTTAATTTCTCTTTCCCCGGTCACGGTGATGCTGAAGGTTTTCGAGTTGCAGATTGTGGGTTGACCACGAGCCTTTGCTGCTTGTCTCACGCACTGCTCTCTTGTTTGAGCTCGGCAGGCTGTGTCCAGCCAGCTGAACACTGTGACTGAGGACATGTACGCCAACGGGTCTGCGGCCCCAGGGAGCCCTGCCCAGGCCAAGGGGAAGGAGGTACGGAGAGTGCGGCTCATACAGCTGGAGAAGGTCACGGAGGAGCCCATGGTAATCGCTCGTCATATCGTCCCCCAGCACTTACTCCCTCCCGTGTGTGAGTCTCTGGGCCGCAGGAGTCAATGGAGCAGGCTTCAGCCCCTGTCTCCATCTCTTCTCAGAGCAAGCCCCCTGCCTGCTCTAGCTGAGCACATCCCGGGTATAAATGGGAAGTACGTTGTCCTCAGAAGCTGCCTTAAGCGCTTTTAAAGATAACCTCCAAAAGAGCTTCAACTACAACTTACTGTGCCATTTCTTTGATTTCAGGGAATCACGCTGAAACTGAATGAGAAACAGTCCTGTACCGTGGCCCGGATTCTTCATGGTGGCATGATCCATAGGCAGGGTACGCTGTGGGAGTCCTAGGTTGGCTTTTATTCTGATTAATCATTTACTCCCTGTTCAGTGGTGTGGGACATGAAGGTTATAATCCTCAAAACTGATAGCAGTTTTGTGATTGTGCCAGGAGATTTGTGCGTGTGTGTGTGTTTGTGTGTGTGTGTGTGTGTGTGTGTGTGTGTCTTAATAAGTGGCTCTGTAGAAAACAGCATGATGCTTTTCTAGTTAATTAATATTTGAAGCATCACTGCATGCCACCCATTGCATTAGACTTTGAGTCTACAGGAGTGAAGGAAACAGATCATCTCTGCTGTACTGGAACAATTTATAACGGAGAAAAGAGATGTTATTGTTGTGTTGCCTTAATGTTAAAGTACCATCAATTTCTAGGTGCATCATTTAGTAAAATCTATTTTAGAGGGTAATGACAGAACAGAGCAATACGGTAAAATATGCCATGCCTGCTGCAGCTGATGGTAGCCAGAGCTTAGCCATCTGATTTGTGCTATTCTCTGAGCCCTGCCTGGAACTTTTCCTAATGTTAGGGGTATGGCCACACTAATGAGTTTTTCCTACATTATTAACTCTCACCCTTTTATGTTGAGAGTTTTTTGGTATCCAACATAACACAAATATCTGTAACCACTCTTTGCATCGAATCCAAACATTGATTAACTTTACCATTTGGGAACATTTTGGAGTTTTAGCTAAACAATAACAAAGGAACATTGAACTTGTTGCTGAATGAGACTACTGAATGCTATACTTTGCTTGTTGTGTCTGAGTCTCCTGGAGTCAGGAGTCCTCCTAGGTTCAGGAATTTGAGGACAAGGTGCTTGCCTTGATACATCCTTTGAGGGATTCAAAAAGATATATATTCCTATCTCATGGTTCAGTGTTTTAAAGCTGGGTATTTCACACAACATATCCTATAACATGTTCTAGATCATATTCCTCTCCTCTGCTATCTTGAGTTACATTGACAGCTTGCTTGAACTTTTATCCTTTTATGCACTAATTTTTTGTTTCCTGGCAGGCTCCCTTCATGTGGGGGATGAGATCCTAGAAATCAATGGCACAAATGTGACTAACCACTCAGTAGACCAGCTGCAGAAGGCTATGGTAGGTTTTCTTTGTGCTAGATGCTAGATGAATGTCTTTACACAGTATCGATGCACTTTGATATCAGTGTACCTCATTTCTCTCCCACAGTATTTATACTTTACTGAGAGGACTGTGATCACTTCTGATATTTATTCTATGTAATAAATGACATTTTTCTGCTTTCATTTTATGAAACTAAAACAGGGCAAATAACCAGGAGCATCAGTCTGGGGTATTGGAAAGAACATTGTACTGGGAACCGGAAGACCTTGGTCTTCAGTGGCAACTCTGAATTCTGGCTTTTCTGGCTGTTTGACTTGAGTGGGTGAATTAATATCTCTAAGTCTTTGTCTTCTCATCTCCAAAGTAAAGACAGCGATCCTTAATTGTGCCTCATGGACCTGTGCTGAAGAGAGAATAGGAGATTATAAATGCACGGTTGAGTGTGCTGTTGGCATCTGCCTGGCACCTCTGTGCTGCACTGTGCAGGGAGTCTCCACCAAGTGCCCTCTTGGCCCTTCCTGATTCTTGCCCAACCTCCTCTACTCAGCCATGGGCTGACTCCATCACTGTGTAAGCTGGGCTCAGTGGGTTCAGCAACAAGTTAGAGAATGAGAGAAGAGATCAGGCTGTTTATATCCCTACTCCTTCCCCACCAGACCAATTTGGTGAAGACCAGACCCTCTCCTGTAAGCACAGTGTTCACATACCCTTGCTTGAGGATGCCCACGTGTATGTGAATGTTCGTCCGTTAAACTCTCCCCCACCCTTCCTGCAGTCCTGGAGATTGAACCCAGGTTCACTCTTAACACTGAGCTTCATTCCTGGTGGTTTGTTGTTTGTTTCTTTGCCAGAACTGGGGATTGAACCCATGGTGTTTGCACTAAGCTACATCCCCAGCCCTTTTTGAATTTTTATTTCTAGGGAGGGTGATGCTGAGTCGCTAAGCTGCCAGACTGAGCTTGAACTTGTGACCATCTTCCCTCAGCCTCCCAAGGTGCTGGGATTGCGGGCATGAGCCACCACTCCCACGTGGTTATTTTTTCTTTTGAGACAGAGTCTGGCTAAGTTTCCCAGGCTGGCCTTGAACTTGGAATTCTCCTACCCCAGCCTTCTGAGTACCTAGGGTGACAGACATGTGTCACATATTTCTTGCTGGGATCCTGAGTAATACAGTAATTAGTACCAGGAGTGACCTCAGCAAACAGAGCCTCAGGTGGGGTTCTAACATTGAACACATGAAAATAACCTTGCTGAAGGACATGGTATACTAGTAAAAAATTAATAATTGTAAAGAGTTTCTAAACTTTATTATAAAAATACAAGCAACCCAATAGAAAAGTGGACAAAAGAAATAAGAAAAAGCAGATGGCCAGTAAGCTTTTGAAAAGATGCTTGTTCATTGCAGCATTACTCACAGTAGCTAGGGCATAGAATCAATGTTCAAAGAAGAGGAATGTGGTGCACACACAGCGGAATACTCTGTAGCTTTAAAAAAGAAGAAAGTCCCTGCATTTACTGTTGGGGACCAAGCTACGTGACTTAGATCCTGCAGTCTTGAGGTTGGTATAACTTGCATTAGGAATAGGGAAATATATGGAACGCTGGCATGTTTCCTGGCTATGTGGGGAAAGCTCCTAATCACAAAGCTCCTAAGGCAAGATAGCATCTGCTGAGGGCAGTACAAAAAAAAAATGCAGGCATCCAGGTATGGGGAAGAACCTTAACTCATTCCCTGTGAGATGCTAAACTTGTTCCCTATTTCACTGCCCTAATCTTACTGCAGTCCCTATTCCTGGAAAAGTATACTACTCCTCCACTGAGCTTCTTGCTGAAGAATAAAAGTGTGTTCACTGCAGAGTTTGTGGAGCCTGTCCACTAGAGGCAGATTCCTCCCAATCTCCCTTGTACCTTGAATATTGTCTCTCTTTTATTCCCTGTCCTCCCCCTTACAGGTATCTGAGGGTCTGATCAGCCCCCAGCAATTTGCCACAATGCAGATGAGCCAGGAGGATGTTATGTGAACTAAGTCAAGCACAGAAAGATAAATACCATATGAACTCATTTGTATGTGTGATCTAAAATGTCAGCGTTGTAGAAGTAAACAGTAGAATACTGCTTATCAGAAGCTGGATTTGGAGCAGGGTAACAGGAGATGTTGGTCAAAGTATTCAACATAGTGATTATATTTAATAACAATGAATTGTACTCCTGAAACTTGCTTGAGAGTAGATTTCAAGTGTTCTCACCACAAAAAAGATAACTATGTGAGGTAATGCATGTGTTAATTAGCTCTATTCAGTTCTTTCATAATGTACACATATTTTCTTTTGTTTTTTTTATTTTTTTGAGACAGGGTTTTGCTATGTAGTGCAGGCTGGCCTTGAACTATGTAGCCCAGGAACTCATGGTGATCCTCCTGCCTCAGCCTCCTGAGTGCTGGGATTACAGGCATGTGCCACCATGCCTGGGTTGTACAGATATTTCAAAACAACACATTGCATATCAGTATGAAAAATATATATAATTTTATTTCTCAAATTGAAAGTGAAGGAGAGAGGATCACTTTTATGGTAACAAAATTATAAAATAAAAAAAGCCATGAAATATGTACCATCCATCAGATTGACAAAAATTTAAAAAGAATGTTGCTGGGAATGGTGGCTCATGCCTGTAACCCCAGCATTCAGGAGGCTGAGGGGGAAGATTGTAAGTTCAAAGCATCGTGAGACCCTGTTTAAAAGAAAAAAAATAACAAAGGAATGTTAATATGTAGTTCTGGCAAGAATTTAGAGGAAAAGGGCTCTCCTCCACTCCTGGTGGGAGTGAAATTGTTATAATCTTTGGGGGAAAATAATCAGAGGATAATTAAAACTCAAAATGTTCCTACCACTTGATTCTGCATTGCCACAGTGAGATTCGATTCTATAAAAATCAAAATGTACTATCTAAGGATATATGTTCAAAGATGTCTGTTGCAGCAGGTGTGACTGTGTGTGCCAGGGCTCATTTTAAGAACTTCTGAGTACCTTTTGGGGGTCATGAGTGGAAGAAGGCAGCCTCGTGCAGTGGTGCAGGCCTGTTATCCCAGCACTCTGGAGGCTGAGGCAGGAGAATCGCTGAGGCCAGCCTGGGCTACATAGTGAGACCCTCTCTCAAAATAATCCCCATAACAACAACAACAACAAAAATGAGTGGGAGGATGAAGGCATTAGCTTTTTCTTTACTATTCTTTGTATGTTTTCATATTGTGACTCTGGTTTATGGGGCACATGACCCTTGTGTTTTAGGAGGAACTTCCCTACAAGTCTCCAAGTGCAGGATAAAGATAGCTGCTGAGGGGAGAACCTGGGACTTTGATGGGGGGAAATGACTTCACAGAAATGAAAATCATTCAGGTTAGTTTCCCTTATAATTTTATTTCTTCTTTTCTTTTTAATAGAAAGAAACCAAAGGAATGATCTCATTAAAAGTGATTCCCAACCAGCAAAGTCGTCTTCCTGCACTACAGGTAGGTGGCGCCATTCTCTGAGATTTGATTATGCATAATACGATTCTGCCTTTAAGTTCTAAATATCTCACAAGTGTGGAGCTGCGTGGCTCAGGGTCCCATTAGACTTGAGCTGCTTCTCTCTGAACTATAGCAAAGGGCCTCACCTCCCCCGAAGACTGGAGGGTCAGCCAGGCAGTGGTGTGCGGGTGGTCCTAGAGGTGGTCAGATGGTAAAGAAACAATACAGCTCTAAAGTCAAGGAGATGTTCTCTTCTTTAAAAATTCATTGGAGGGGCTGAGAATTTAGCTCAGTGGTTTCCCTGCCTGCCGCACAAGCACAAGGTCCCGAGTTCGATCCCCAGTACCAAAAAAAAAAAAATTTAATGTTGAATGGGCTTTGAATTATCAAATATTTTTTCTTCATCTAGTGAGAAGAACATATGATTTTCTCCTTTGTGTTGCTGAACTACATCCTGTATGATTGTGATTGCCCTTTTTGTACATTGCTATATTTGATTTGCTAATGTTTTGCTTCAGATGTTTGTCTCTGTTGCTGAGAAAGAGTATAAGATTCTTGTCACATTTTGGTATCTTATGCTAGATTTATAAAATGAGTTGGGAAGTGCTGTCATTTTCTGTAATTTGTATTTCTATGAAATTACTCTTATTTCTTCAAATAATGTTTCAAAAATTTACCAACAAAGCCATTGGTTCCCCCTTCCCTTCCCCTCTACTCTCTTCCTCTTCCTCCTCTCCCTGCTCTTCCTTCCCGCCCCCGCCCCCCGTTGGAAGCAGTGGAATAGAATTTTCATAATTCTTTTTGATAGATATATAAGATATGAGCAAAATATACAGTGAATATTTAAATTTTAAAATGTGTTACAGTAAAAGACACATTGTCGTGAATCCCCCTTAAAATCCTCCCTCAGTTTAAAAATACACACCTTCTCATTCTTGCCACTATCTGAAGCAGTTCTGGAAGTCCTCTTTCTTGAGCGTCTTCATAAGGTGTGACCCAAATACAGGAAATGCTGCTGCCAAATGCCATCCAACAGAAAGGCAGCTCATAAAGCCCTTACAGCGTGTCCTCATCCACTTTAGTCACCAGATCTGACATGGTACGACTTCTGGCTCTTCCCCAAAGTCCAAATGACCATGAACGGTCAACATTTTGAACTGATTCAGGACATTGAGGCAGCCACCATAATACAATTAAAGACCCTTAATTTTACTGGTAAATTGCCTTCTCTGTTTTGTTAACATCATTAATCTTTTCAAAGAATCAAGTTTGCCTTTATCTTCTCAGTGCTATTTTCTTCTCCATTTCTTTCTTTGGGTTGGATTTGACCCTCTAATCTGACTATCACAGCTAATCAGTATTAAATTCTGGGTGAGCAGGCGGCACAGTGGGGCAGAGGAGATCCAGCCAGCCCCGGCATCTTAACACAGATGGCGGGGGCCGTGCTGGTATAGTTTCTTCCTGTCTTTTTTCTATGCGTAAATCAATACTTATTTTTTATTCTGAGCATACTAGGTATTGTTTTTGTTTAATGACATTCTCATTTTAACATCATAGCAGCAACACTTTCCAAGGGCATTAAACATTCTTCCATAAATTGCTGTTCATGATTTCATGGTAACATATTCAGTAGATGACCATATTTAACCAGTTCCCAATTCTTGGTAAATTAGGTCGTGTCCGTTACCTCATTCTTGTATGCAGGGCTTAAACAGTGCTGTGATGGGCACGCTCATCCATATTTCGCTGCTGACACTTCTGCAAAAAGGGGGAATGTAGGGGCATCAACATGTGAAGACTTAGGGCACATTCATGTTTAGACTGTCATCTAGAAAAGGTCTACCAAGTTTATTTAACAAATTGGTCAAGAGATCATACACATTTCAAGTAGTAGCTGCTCTGTACTCTGAGACACACAACTCAGATGCAGCAGTTGAAAACATGTTGATCAGAAAGGCATCTCACTGCCTTCTTGTTCCAGGGATCAGTTCTGACCTTGTGCAGATACAGCGCTAGCCACTTTTACTCACTCCGCACTGCAGTTTCCCTCTCTTGCTGTTCCCCCCCACCACTCCTGCCTCCCCAGTGTTCATCCCCTATGAACTTAGAGCAGCAGCACTTTCTCTGTCTGCACTCTGAGGCTGGTCGTTCTCTCGAAGCTGCTGCCTACAGTTTCCTTTGCCTTCTTTTTCAGATGTTCATGAGAGCACAGTTTGACTACGATCCCCAAAAGGACAGTCTGATCCCTTGCAAGGAGGCGGGACTAAAGTTTGTTACTGGGGACATTATCCAGATCATCAACAAGGATGACAGCAACTGGTGGCAGGGGTGGGTGGAAGGCTCCTCCAAGGAGTCCGCAGGACTGATCCCTTCCCCCGAGCTGCAGGAATGGTGAGCTGCCTCCGTGCAGATGGACTCTGCAGATCGACATCGCTTAGCTTCATGACTCTGGTTTCTTGCATGTCGTTGCCATCTGTCCTAGGCAGCCTCCTGGCTCCCCTGGCATAATGGGCAAGGGAGGGCCCACAGCGAGATGAGAAGCTTCACTGATGCCTTTTGGCTTCTCAGACACTTCCCCTGCGGTTTTTTACGAAGCCCTCCCTGATCTTCTGCCTCCCGTCTTCCACTCTGTGCTGTTTCAGGGAAGACTCACGAGTCCTGCAGGAAGTAGTCACATTTGATGAATGTGTCTTTTATACAGATTCCCGGCCCATGGAAGAAATACTTCCTGTCCCCAAGTCAGATTGCTCACTTAGTGCTAGGTTATAGCACACGGCCATGGGAGTGGCAGAAAGATCCGAATTCACCACTAGCCCTCTCTCTGCCTCTGCAACATAAGCCCAGCATAGAGATCACAGCCTCAAGGGTGTTCTTTCATATACCAGCCTTGCTCTTTGAAACCAGAGTTCTGGTTGATCTCATCTCTAGGAATGATGCAGTGGAAGGGAAATTATAAACATGGAACCGAACCACAGGATGTGCCTTGTAGAAATAAACTTAGCATTAGAGCAACAGAAAAAAATACAGCGCAGACTCCGGGTGATATTGGTCAAAGCCTTGAGCACACTGACTGTGGCCTCCAGGTCATTTTCCAAGCTAACACCTTGCAAAGAACCTTGCAAGGTCAGGAGCAGCAGATGCCTGGTAAAGACCCAGGAAAACATCAGATGAAACTGTGGGCCACAGCTCATTAATGAGGCAGGAAATCAATTTGGTGGACTGCAACAACTATTTATTTTTTAAAATGACATTGAATAGAAATATTAGTCTATGTTACTCATAGTAATAGAAGGTGTTGCTTCACGAAGCTGTTGTCCTAGTTGTATGTGTGCATGTCTGTGTTTAGATGCCTCCGTTAGGGTAGAGGATTGGAATGGACAGTATATTTCCGGTCGTGGTTTGGCTGCCAGATCCAAGAATGGTCAGGCTGCACTGAGGGCAGGACACGGTCGAGGTGTTTCCTCCTGGAAGAACGTCCACTGCGGGGTCCTTGGATGCCCACGCAAAACTCTCCAAGGAGGAGAGGGAGTGCTGTGGGCGAGTCCTGGAGCCACCGTGTGAGAAGTGTCTGGTCTGGTACAGAGTGAGGGGCGTGAGTCGGCCTGAAATCTGAGTGTAGGAAGGAAAGGCCTATTCCACACTCTTCCAGGACAGTTGAATGAACCTGTGGCGTTTACACTTTGGTCATCTGTTCCCGCCAGGCGAGTGGCGAGTGTGGCTCAGTCTGCTCCGAGTGAAGCCCCGAGCTGCAGTCCGTTTGGGAAGAAGAAGAAGTACAAAGACAAGTACCTGGCCAAGCACAGCTCAAGTAAGCTTTCTGAGCTCCCTCTCCTGGCCCCAGCCCGGCACCTGGGCTCTTCCTCTTCCGACAGCACAGGGGAGGAGTGGGCAGAGCACAGGCCCTCCAAAAGCAGCCAGTGTTCTGGCTTTTTCACCAGTGCAGTTAGGGCTCCAGTGGCATAGGTAGAAAGGAGGGTAACCGGGCAGCCCATGCTTTTCCTCAGAGTGACAGCCCCTCAGCGTCACCTGGCCACGTGCAGCCGCAGAGAGAAGACTGCTCTCTTAAGAACTCATTTTGGCTGTTTTTTTTTTTTCAACCTCCCATACCTGGAAACATGGCAGTGATCTTTCGGTACCCATAGGGAATTCATTCTAGCGTCCCTGGGTCTACCTAAATCCCCAGATTTCTAAGCCTCTTATTTAAAATGCTGTAAATGCTAAGTGGTTGTTGAACTCGATTGTTTAGGGAGGAATTACAAGAACAAAATGTATGTACGTATTCAGTACAGACCCACTTTTTTCAAATAGTTTGAAGCCATCACTGGTGGAATCCGAGGTTGCAGAACCATGGATATGGACGGCTAACTGTATATTAAAATTATAAGTGGGCTCAAGCGGGTTGCTGATAACAAGTGAACAGTAGTCTGCCATTCAGCTACCATTTATTAAATGCTTCTGCTTTGCTGAGAGCATCCTGGACCGAAAGACCATGAGCAAATTATAGAACCCAAAGTTGTCAGGCATGTCAAAACCTACACAGGAGTAGCTGTGGCCTGGGAGGTGAAGGGCAGTGAGTTGGATGGATGGTGTCCCCAGGGTAAGGCAGTGCAGAGTTCCAAGTGCCCGTGAGACAGCCAAGCTGCATACCCTGGGGAGCTGGATCCAAGGGGAGCGTCTAGGTTGGCAACAGGAATCACCAGGTTACTGAAAGTAGGGAGAAGGGAGAAGTATGGCAGACCAGAAAGGTCAGCTGAGAGACAGAGGACAAAGGATGAGTGCGCAGAGTCCAAAACATTAGGACAAATCAAAGTCCAAAGAGCTGGCTGACAGAGTCATGGCAAGGGCTCACATGGCGGTTGTTGAGGAAACCAGATCAAGGCCCAAAGGAGCATGCCAATGTGTTTCAGTTTCCTCGGGCAGATTTAGTTGACTCTGACATCTTGTTCCTCCCAGTTCAGCGTTGCCACCTGTGGTTGTCCCGGACAGCAGCCCACCGAGTCTGATTAGGCATAGCCACCTTTGTTCCCCAGTGAGATGAATTCAGTTCCGATTCCCCACTGTTTGCACAGTGAGACACGGGGTTGGGTGCAGCTTAGGATCCCACTGCCTTGATCCCAGCCCCTTTGCTTGGTCTCTCACCCGGTAGCCAAGGGTCAGCCTTTCAAAATCGAAATGGGATCACACCAGCCCCTTCCTCAAAACTCCCTTCTCACTCGAAAAACAAACGCAATCGGAAGTCATTGTCCCCACCACCCTCCCTGGCCTCAGCTCCAACCTCCCCCTCCCTGCATGGCGGGGTGTCAGCTCCTTAACCTTGGCCAGCTCTTCCCACCCAGGCTCTGGGAATGAATGTGTTGCCTCATTTTCTTTGTCTCTAGTTTTTGACCAGTTGGATGTTGTTTCGTATGAGGAAGTTGTTCGGCTCCCTGCGTTCAAGAGGAAGACCTTGGTGCTGATTGGTATCTTCCCACTGCCTCCTGCTGCTTTGCTACTTCCAGGGCACATTTCTGTCCTTGCTTCCCACCTACATTCTGCACTCACCCCCAAAAGGCAGCAAGGGGAAATGGAGTTCTTCGCATAGGGCAGATATGAAGAACTTTCCACCTGGGTCCACCTCACATGTTCAACAAAACCTTACAAAGTTTTTGGAGTTTGGCTGGATTTGGTCCTAACTCTGTTTGTGAGCCGGTGATAAGGTTTTCGGTTTGCATGATGTCACAGCTTCGATAGCCTAGCGAGGGCTCCCAAATGGCTCTGACCCAGAGCGGAATGAGTCCTTGCTCCCAACCCAGGTCCTTAGAGTCAAAACATTGGTTGGTTAGAGGATCTGTTAGGGTTTGAGGGAAATTCCCATCAAAAACATTGACTTAAATTTCATTCCATTAATTTCGGAAACTCAGAAAAGTGAATATACTTACAAAATAAACAGAAAACCCACATTTGCAGGTTCTTTTATGGAAATGACAGTTATATGCTGGCTCCGGACCCTTAACCCTCAGAAAAAGCCTCCTCCTACCCCAAATGGATAAAGAGGGCCTGAAGCCACTGGTGGTCCCCAATTTCCGGCAGCTCAAAGGCAACACCGGCTTGTTTGCGGCTGTCCCCTCCCCATTTCTGTCCCCACCTTTGTCTTTGGGGTTAGTGAGCAAGTTTCCTTTCCTCCCCACACAGGGGCCAGCGGGGTGGGGCGCAGCCACATTAAGAATGCCCTGCTCAGCCAGAATCCGGAGAAGTTCGTGTACCCTCCCCCATGTAAGTAGCCCTTGGAGGGGAAGAGGGAGCCTGCAGGATGGAGCGTCTGCATCGCAGGTTGCTATCCACTCTCTGCCTGAGATGCCATATAGTCTTTCTTTGCAGTCTTATTTTTAAATGTTGGATTGCAAAAACTAAAAATTTGGAAATAAAAGTTTATACCCACCATTGCTCCAATTACCAAGATAACTTGTCATATTCTCTTCTATATACCAGTAACCGAAGCTGTAGTAAATATATTTTTTACTGTGCTTTTAAAAATTATTAAGAATTTATTAGTTGGGTGTGGTGGCACAGACCTGTAATCGCAGCTACTTAGGAGGCTGAGGCAGGAGGGCTGCAAGTTTGGTGTCAGCCCCTATTCAAAATAAAAAGGGCTGGGGATGTAACTCAGTGGTACAGCACTTGCCTAGCATGTTAAAGGCTCTCAATTCAATCCTCAGAACTATATAAAAAAAGAAAATGTATACGTACTATATTTTTAATTTACTTTATAAACTTTCTCATAGTCCTCTACTGTCTGCCTATATTGCTTTGAGAACTATTTTATTTGGATATTGGATGTGTGGTAATTTCCTTAACTGTCTCATTATTGTTTGACGTTTCGGCTGCTCTCATTCTCATGAAATACCTTCTGAATCAAAGCAGTGCTTAGGAAAGGCCTGAACAGTCATGGTCGCAGCCTTAGATATGGAGAACAATGACTCTTCCACTCCCAGAAGTGAATCTGTGCAGTTGTGTCATAGATATCCCTAGAGTACTGCCAAGTGACATAGAAACCACACTGTGAACCTGCTGGTAGTTGTTTGGCCTTTTTACACATGGATCCCTAACAGTTTTCTGTAGGGACCGAGTGAGGAGTGAGTGGGAAAGTGCCAGGGCTACAGGTCTACATCACCATGCCTGGCTGTTCAGAGATCTGTTTGGTGGTGGGGAGATTGAGACAGGATCAAGCTATGTGGCTCAGGCTGGCCTTGAACTTGCAGGATCCTCCTGCCTCAGCCTGCTGAGTGCTGACACGACAGGCCTGCACCAGTAGGCCCGGGTCACAGCTGTCATTTCTTTCTTTCTTTTTTTTTTTTTTGGTACCGGGGATCAACTTGGGATCTTGTGCTTGTGAGGCAGGCGGCGGCACCGCTGAGCTAAATCCCCGGCCCAGCTGTCATTTCTGAGTCTCGGTATTCCTAGGTTTGGTGGTTGGAGAAATATAACTTCATATAGGGAAAATGGTACACATTTCTTACATTAGGCTTTGCTTCTTGAAAATGAAGTATGTTTGGGGCAGATGGGGGGTTTCTTGGCCTGCACTGCTGTCTCGCATCGCCCTGCAGGACCCCATGGGATGTCACACTGTGCCCCATACAGACGACGTGGGCTGAGCTTATCAGGAATTGGTGTCCCTCTCCACAGACACAACACGGCCACCGAGGAAGAGCGAGGAAGACGGGAAGGAGTACCACTTCATCTCAGCGGAGGAGATGACCCGGAACATCTCTGCCAACGAGTTCTTGGAGTTTGGCAGCTACCAGGGCAACATGTTCGGGACCAAGTTTGAAACCGTGCACCAGATTCATAAGCAGGACAAGATTGCTATCCTCGACATTGAGCCCCAGGTGCAGAGGTGGAGGAAGGCGGGAGTGCTGGTCCAGCATGCGAAGCCAGCTCCTGGGGACCAGTCTTGTGGGAGCTCGGGCTTGCTTCCTGTGTTTAGTGGGGTGAGCCTGACACACGGGCAGGAGGACTGGGAATGATGGAAATAGGATCAGGATCGGTGAAGCCCGAAGCCACTTACGGGGAAGCAATGTATTCTGACACCTATCTTTTCTTTCCCTTTCTTCATTCCCGTTTCCTCTTCTAGACCCTGAAGATTGTTCGGACAGCAGAGCTTTCCCCTTTCATTGTGTTCATTGCGCCTACTGACCAGGGTGCACAGGTGAGGGCGCAGCCTGCAGGGTGGTGGGCTTCCTTCGGCTGGGGTGACTGGCCAGACTGCTGCCCCTCCTCCAAGGCCAAGGCCATAAGGGACACGAATTTCATCCACTCAAGAGCTACTAATCCCCTGGCTGCGCTGCCCTGGAGGGGCGTAACTGGGTCCTGGCAGAGGCGGGCAGCTGAGCAAACCCTGCTGTGCTCATGATGTGGCTCAGAGTGCGGACAGCAGTGACACTGACCCCCCACTGGGGGTGGGCGGGCTGTGGAGACAGGAGGCCTGTGAGTGCCTGCTTCACTTTGTCCTTTCGCGTGTTTGTCACATTTTTCATTTTCTGCCAGATAGTGGGGAAAATGGCATTTCATACTTTTAGTGTAAGAAACTATCTTTTGATGCCATTAAGAGCCATTGTATTTTCTGTGGATTATCTGGCCATATCCTTAGCTCATTTTTCCATTGGGTTACTGGCCTTTTTTTTTTTTCATCCATTTCTAGAAATTCTTTATTAGGGTAATTAGCCCTGTGTGATGTGTTGCAAATACTGTGCCCCCCGTTTTGGCGTGTGTTTAACTAGCAGACATTTTTAGTTTTTTAGTTGAACTGTTTTGTGGCTGGTTGGTCTGAGGCGAGAGGCCCACAATTACAGCTCTCATGGCTGCAGAGCGGCTTTGCCATGAGCAGACAGCACCAGTGAGCTGGTGACGTCCATGCCTGCTGGCTGCTGGTCTCCAACACTCCATGTGTCATGAGTCAGCTTGAGATCCTGAGATTTCCAAGTGTCCCTAACTGATTGCTTGTCAAGCAGCCAGAGTCTGATTCAGAGTATGGGCCTCTGGGCAGGTGATGAGGGGGGCTGGGGTGTAGGTCAGTGCAGAGCACTTGCTTAGCACGTGTGAGGCCCTGGGTTCAACCTACACCACGCCAAGAGAGGAAGTGGGCCATGGGGAGGGGGCCCCACTGGCAGCAATTAGTCTGTTTAAAACCCGGCCTAGGCCTCTCTAGGGTGGGGACACTACACCTGCTTCACCCATGGTTTTTCTCCATTGCAGACGGAAGCCCTACAGCAGCTGCGGAAGGACTCTGAGGCTATCCGCAGCCAGTATGCTCACTACTTTGACCTCTCTCTGGTCAATAACGGTGTTGATGAAACCCTTCAGAAACTACAAGCCGCCTTTGAGCAGGCCTGCAGCTCTCCACAGTGGGTGCCTGTCTCCTGGGTTTACTAAGCTTGCAGCACGGGAAGCTAGTGTCCCTCTCTTCACATTTGAACTCCATGTCCCTTGCTTTAACAAAAAAGGGCTGCTTCAACTAGTTCTGTCAGCTTCCAGCTCTCTGCAACTGTCCCAGATAGGCTGCTAGGACCATCCCTCACTCAGGCTCCCGAAGGCCTGGGTTTCCTTTTCCTGATGATGGGGTCCTACTGATCTGGATCTCAAAAAGCTATCTGGAAATTGGGAATAAGAAGTACTACCAAAATCCAGCTGCTAATCAAAGATGCACAAAAAAAGCAGTGGGTCCTGTCCCCCTGAAGCCTGAGCTTCTCCACCTTCAACTACACCGGGTATCTTTTCATTGGTCTTTGTTTTTTTGGTACCAGGGATCAAACTCGGGTCCTTGCGCTTGCACAACAGGCGGTGAAACCACTGAGCCAAATCCCCGGCCCATTGGTCTTTACTTTGGAGAAAGCATCTTTTGCAACTTTCTAAAATGCCAAATGAAACAGCTGTGCAAGTTACCTGCTCTAGGGAAACCCTCAAAGCAATAAAGATGTGGCTGTGAAAACACCAATGACCTTGTGACTCTGCTTCCATCTGCACCACACACCTCGAGAAAGGGAAATGCTACCTGTGCTTCGTTAAACTGGGCGGTGGTATCAATGTGAGATGCCTTTCTGGGGTCGATGTGGCTGAGATTACACACAGCAGTCTTTGAAAAACCTGCGTAGGACTCCACTGCAGGTCGTCTCACCTGGTGGGTCGAGACCATTGTGGGCACACATCTGAGCTTCTGCTTAAGGGTCTGGGGGGACAGCCCGGGGAAGCAGAGGCTAGGACAGATCTGTCAGGGCACCCTCTGCGCCTGTGCCTACAGCTCAGGTCTCAGCTGCTGCATGCCCAAGAATCGCACAAACAGGACTTCCGTTTCCTTCTCCCCATTCCCCTGCCCTCAGGACCCAATCTGGCAACCCCAACAGGCTCCTGCCAATCAGAGCCCACACGTGCCCAGATATGTGTACCCCTCACCCCTCAATGCCAGGATATCCTCCCACTTCAGGCCTCCTCTGCAACACACTTCTATTCTGGGATTTCATCCCATGTGATAGGCCCCAAGGTGAGTGTTGACAGAATCAGAGAAATGTAACTGCCAAACAAAGGAAAGCCAAATTTCAAATAGGACAGAAAAGTCCCCAGATTTTTAATCAAAACATTATATATTTTGCTCTGCCAGTTTGAGATCACTTAAAAATTATAAACCCAACAGGAATACTTAAAAAACGTCACGAATCAACTTTAATATGTAAAAATCACAACATTCTTCTAGCAACGAGCAAATTCATTCCTCAAAAGTAAATGAGGGCTAAAACACAGAACAGCTTGGTTTCCACCACAAACAGAGTAGCCAGATGGATTTGGGTGAACGCTGCTGTACATACTAGCTTGGAGAAATGCACACAGGAATGACAGCTAGGCCAGAAACATAAAGGGACACCACCCCCGCCACCAGAAGACACTGTCCTCAAAGGACATCAGAGACAAGACCACCCCAGTGAACAACACGGGTCAGCTCTATTCTTTCACTTAGTGATGGTTGTACACCAATCCACTGTATAATTTTTACAAACTTTTTAAACAGAGGAGATAAGAAAAAAGCACACCAGGAGAGGACTACAATGTTGTTAAAAACAACCATTAGTAAACAGCTGCACAGTTACTGGGCGGTACTGGGTCTGAAGGTGAAGCTTCAAATGCACACAGGCAGACAGGTCAGTGACATAAAATGCGCCTCTTTCATCAACCATATCCTTAAAACAGGACAAGATGGGATGAGCATACCAGGTAACGCCACTGAGGACTCAGGGAGCAGCTAAATGTGCCAGGATTCTCCACCCTGTCCAGGACCTTCGTTCCACTCCCTCAACAAAAGGAACCATGTCTTCTCGGTAAGCCTTCCATTCTTCCTGCCACCTGGACACAATTGCTCAGCTCAAAGTGGCCTTCGCTACTCAGACACCACTTCCACCACTTTTGCCTTCTTCTTCTTCTTCTTCTTTTTGGTGGTATCACTGTCCTAGAGAGAAAAGTGAGAGTGACATCCTTCTGGTCTACTGGCACAAGCAGAAACGTTCAGATGATCACAGTACACAACCAATTCACCTACCCCAATGCAATCCCCACAGTAAGCCTCCCCTCTAAAATGCCAGGTACCCTGTCTGTCCACCCTTCTGCAGGCGCTGGTGGAGAGGCAAGGGCAGCGCCCCGTGGAACCAAGCCCACCCCTACTCATCCATACCCCGACTCCAGGCTCGCCCCCACTCTCTGCAGCAGCTTTGGCCTTCTTGGCCTTGTTCTTCTTCTTTTTTTCCTTCTTGGACAGCTTGGGGGCTGCTGCTTGAGGGGTCTCCTCACTCCCACTCTCACTCTCACTCTCTCGCTTCCGCTAAGAACACATGATCAGTTAGACTCTCGGCAATCATGGACATGAAAAGTCAAACAGCAGGAAATCAGCAAATCCAAAACCCCAACTGGACCCAATGTTGTGTTTTCCTGAGAAGCTATTTCTGGACTACAGAACCTAGGAATGTTCCCCCAAGTCCGCACACAAGGCAGGCAGAGCTGGAGTTGACACCTGACAAGCCAGAAGCTCTACCGACACAGCTCAGGTTAGCCAGTAAGGTCCCCAAGCCCAGGGAACCAGGCTGCCATGACACCCTTCACCTCGACCCTTTAAGCACTGGTGCTGATTAGAAATGCATGTTGCTCTCTAGCACCTCTGCTCCCTGAGTTCTGTGCAGACCCATGTACCACCTGAGCCAAGGTGGGGGCTAGAATAACTCGTGCCATTGGCCCTAGCAGACATGACGTGAACACAAGAGTAGCACAACCCAGTAAGCCACGGCACCGGCCAGCACCAAAGGAAGCCCGATGCTGATGCCCATTCCTAAGGGTCACATCATTGCCACTCACCTTTGTGACTTTCACTGTCTCGGCAACTACCTGTGGGGCTTTTGCCACTTCAGCAACTAACTGTGCTGTTTTTACTGCGTCAGCGACTGTTTCTTTCTTGCTGGAATCACTAAGAAAGGACAGGCAGTAATGGGTCAAATCCACTGAGCAGCTTCACCTGGTGGTTCTGTTGTATCCTCCGTCATGCAGTGCTACTCAGCATGTCTGAAGCCACCATGGAAACACTACCGCCAGACAGAAGGGCCCAGACTGACTCCCTCCAGAGCTCACAGGCCCGGCCACAAAGAGACAGCTGAGACTTGGGCTGGGCAAGCAAGGCGCTGCAGTACACATCTGCTCAGTCAGCCCTGCCCCGTCCCATTCCCTGGGCTCTGCAGCCTCACCTGTAGTCGACGTACTCCTGCTTCCAGGTGGCAGGGGTGCTTTCGGTGGGTTTGCCGTGCTTGTCCAGAAGGCCCTGCTTGATCATCAGTTTCTTCTGACTTGCCTAGCAGAACATCAGGGCCTCGCCATCAGAAAGACATGAACTCAGGAGATGGAAACTCACTGCACACTGTGACTTACACAGACGCCGGCACACAGAGAGCACAAATTTTTCTCCCTTGCATATTCTCAGCAGGTACTCAAGCTCCTCTGCAGAATGCCTTGAACTCTTCTCTTTTCTTTACCTCATGAGCACCTAACCCGGCCTCCACACTGGCTTAAGAGAAGACTGCCCATAGTCCTGAGCAGGTCACAGTCCCACTGTGGACTCTAGATGCCAGGAGCCTCTCTGCGCTCCTCAGAGCCACTATCCTGGCCCAAACTCACCGCCCCACTGTGTGGCTATCTAAGTAATGCCCAACTGTTCCCCCCACTAAGACAAAATCTCTAAGATCCAAGACAGGGCTTTCCTCTGCTCACCAGCAACCAACAATCCAGACCCCCGCGGCGGCAGGGATCCCCCAGAGCCGTGGTGCGGGTTCACAGCAAAATAGAGTAACCTCGCAAAGCCCACAGCCCGCTCCCACTCACCTTGGGCCCTAAGCCCCACTTCCGAGGGTAAGTGTCCCTCTCCATGATCACTCTTTTGATCTTGGCCACTATACCATGGTCGCAGGTAGAGATCACTGCTGTGGTCATTAATGCAATAGCTGCAGACATTGGAAAGAAAAAATGACGGGAAGGGAAAACATTTGATAACTGAGAATGCTAATTCTACCATTTCATGCCTTTAAAAAACCCATTTAAAGCTCTATGCTCTCCTAATGTAATTGCAGCTTCCTTTCTTCAGGATGACATATGGAGAAAATCCTGTTTTGGGAAGGTGGCTTTTTGAAATGATGCTAAGCTTATGATGGATCCTGCTAACATGCTTTATTTCTGCTGCAAATCCAAACTATTAAATGAGTAGCTCTGATTTATTCATTGTGAGGGCTATAGAGCATTAAAAAGTTATAAGGGACAATCCAACAGTGGCTAAACTTTCACCAAAAAACCCAAATAAAAACTAGTACTGATCACAAGCTGCATGATAGACAAGGAGTGAACTTCATAACGGCTACTCATTTTGATCACCATGCCAACCACCCATGCCTGCTGTTGGCCAGTGAGTTCGTGTTCTCCCAGAAGGTTCAAGAGCCTATGTGCACATAAAGGCAAAGCCGGCTCGCCTCCCTTCCCTCTCACCAACCAGACACAACACACAAGACACCACAACTGATCAACTCAAGGAAATGGCTCTCAGGGAGCCTCACTGTGACAGGGCACGGCACAAAGGAACCGACTCCCGAAATGAGGGAAACATCCCCCTTACCCATGCAGATCGCTTCCCCCTTGGTGGTGATGACCACGATCTCCTGGTTGACCTCAATGCCATCCTCGTAGCGGAGAACACCTGGAAGCATGATCTTGGCCCCATAGCAGATGGCGTTGACCTGCATGTTCGAGGGCATCATTAGCGAAGCCACCAGCTGCTGCCCTCAGTCACACCCCTACACCACAGCAGGGGCACAAGACAAGGAGGTGGCCCAAGTGGGAGATGGGGCTGATGGCATCGACAGCCAGCGGGGCACAGGACAGCAGCAAACACCCCGTGTGTGCTAGCCACAGCCCAAAGGATTCTACATACAGCACTCAAAACATCAAAGACAGCTGAATAGTTCCCTCTCATATTTCATGATACTCTTGCTGCTAAAGAACACTGTCCTCCTTCTTCACTAAGTTACGTAATCCGATTTTTAGGCTCTGTTTTTCCCATGGGGCCTTACAGGGATTATCTTAGCTTTCCCAAGCTGTTCCTCTCTTATCTTTACAGGGTACAAAACATTTACTAGATACACAGGCAATAACAGGCTCTGCTCTCAAGATAATTTGCAAACAAGATTACCAGGCTTATTCAATCACACGGGTTTTAGCACAGAATTCACTGGCCAATCAGTACAAGTTAAGACCATCTCTCCGGGAGTCTGATGACACCCAATACATCACGTGTCTCATGCCATCTTGTCTACACTCCCCTAGGTATTTAGCTGTGTTCCTCAAATTTATCAAAAAGCCAACAGTCTGACCCTAGCACAAAGAGGGCACATCGCAGGTATACTGTTTACTCTTTATGTGATTACGTTTTTCCAAATTTTTTAAGTGCTGTTGTAGAATGCCTCTCCAATTTATGGACTAAACATGTAAAATGCGCCAAATGCCTCTATATAATTTAATATCTGAATATGAATTATGAACCTCAAATTACTACTATTTGCAGTATTGGGGACAGACAGAATCTGAGGCCTCACACACATTAGGCAAGCACTCTACTACTAAGCTGCATCCCGGTCCCCAACCTCAAATTAAGAAAAAAACTTTGTGGCTACATGGTACTTAAAAATCGATGATGCACTGGGCCACAAAGATAACCTTAATTTAGAAAAGACTTCATTCTTTGATAACACAATTAGGAATAAAAAGGCTACTTTAAAAATTCTGGACTATTTAGAGTAAGAAACTCACCCTTAAATCCCATTACTACAAAAGAAACTCAAACTAAAATAACTGCATATTTACTTGCATTATTATTTTTTTTTTGAGACATGTAGTTCAGGCTGGTCTTGAACATACTATGCAGCCCAGGCTGGCCTAGCTGGCCTGAGGCGATCCTCCTGTCTCAGCCTCCCAGTGCTGGAATGACAGGCATGCAGCACCACACCAGGGATCAAACTTGGTCCCTGAGCTTGAGCCTTGAGCAGCAGGCAGCGAAACCACTGGGCTAAATCCCCGGCCCAACAGGACTGTTCTTGATTATAAAGCTATGTAGTATATATGCTAAGAAAAGGGCTTGATAAGCTCAGTTTTCAATTTAGATTTCATTGGCTCAAATTACAATTTACTTGAACATAACTTTTTCAAAATTCCTATAGAATAATGTTGTATCTCTGAAACTCTTCTCACAAGAGGGAAAATTTTATGTACCACCAAGAGTCTATTACTCAAACCAAGTTACTCAAGGAGAACCAAAGTCAGAATTTAATTTGCCTTATTCTGAAATGAAAGTAGGGCTGGCATTGAGTTTTTAGTGCAATATATCTAGCTTTGACGTCAAGAAATTTTAGTCATGTTTCCATTAACAAAGAGACATCATTCACCATATGCAACTAGGAGGAAAAAATGTTTATAAAATATCCCCCAAAGAAGATGATAAATAAAGGTTTGCACTGCCGAAGTTTCATTTCTTTTAAGAGGAATTCAGTTTTCAGAACAAGGACCATGCCTTATCTTTGGAGTTGCATTCTATCTAAAGAGGAACTCTTTATCTAGAAGACTTACTGCACTGTCTTTCATAACCAGCCGCTTATGAGATGTCAACAGCTTTTCCAAAGGGTAAACAACTCGCCGCAAGTAACTCTCATCCTTGTGGTTGTCATACAGCCACTGAGCATCAAGCACATCATGCATTGTCACCATGTGGTCCTGAAAAGCAGCCACATATGAAAAGAACTCAGTGTCTTCAAAGCTCAAATACCCACCAGACCTGCAGCTTGCCTGCTAGGACAAGCTCTTTAGGAGTCTCCGGTCTCTCTTCCCTGCCTCTCTTCTGGGTATCTTTAATTGTTGCTTCATTAGACCTCATCAGGCAATTCTGTGGGCTCAGAGATGAACTTGGAATATTTTTTACCCAGTCATCACCTATAGCCCATTTCAATGTCCCAAAGTTTAATTAACAGACCAGGGAAGCTGCCCTGAACTGAACTCAACACTGGAAATTGCCTGTCTCAGGATGTGAAGCGGGCAGAATCCCGCCAAGGGCTAGCAGATTCGAAGACCTCTAGCCCCGCAATGGCATACCTTTTCACTCATTACTCCAGAACGGACCCGCCGAAGCTCCTGCATCTGACCGCCAACTCCCAGCAACAGCCCAAGATGCACGCACAGCGTCCGGATGTAGGTGCCGGCCTCACAACTCACCCAGAAGACCCCTGGGACACACACAGTTAGCAGCACCTAGTTTCCAGGCCACACACATCCCGGTTGGGGAACCGTCATTCACCATCTGAGCCATCAAAGCTGAGATGATGGACAAAGGCCACAACCATGGTGTGCTGAAGGCATCGATTTTTAACAACAGGACAGACCCTCAAGAGTGCGTCCCTCCCCACTGTGGTCTGCGGCATCCAGCTCCTCAACGGGCCTCCTGACTCACCTAATCTCTTTTCAGGGTCGTATTCAATCATTTTGCTCTCATAGATCGTCCTCACTCGGAGCTGCCTCTTCACTGCAGCAATAAGCGGGGGTCGCTGGAATAGGGCACCCGTCAGAGTTTCTAGGGCCTAAGAACAAGCACAAAGCAAACGAGACACTCACATCACGTGTGCTCCGTTTAAGGACACAAAGGAAACCCAAGTTTCTCTCAGTTACTTAAGATCTAAAATGCCCCTTCGGTGTCTGCTTCCTTCTTCACAACTCGGCAGGCTTGGTGCGGACCAGAACCTCCCCCTCAGGAGACCTGGTGGAACAGTGAGTGTCCTGGCCACCTGCGAACTGTGTCCAGGCTGGCCAAGAAGCCCACTGAAGGAGCACAAGAAGCTCGCCGGGAAAGCAGGTCTATCTGCAGGTGTTCAGGGGTCAAAAGTGCCTTCACGACGTTCACACACTTACCCTAGAAAGCTGGGTCCCCCCTTCAATAGCATTGTGCAGCCGGACAATCCCCACATACTCTTTGCCTGAAAAATGACAAGAGTAGTCAGGTGTGGCCACTGAGTTTTCTCTATTTTTTATATGATCAATCATGCCATTTTGCGTAACAGAGAAGGCAGGCAACTTGACCTGCATGTTTCTGTAAACATTTTTATTAAGCCAGATTCCCAGTGCTGACGAGGAAGAAAAATGTTGAAGACACTTTCTTTCACCTGGAGTTCAAGGGTCGGTGTGCTGACAGGGACAGGGAGAGTACCCAGTGTACAGCCAGACTGGAAAATGCCTTCCACTTTAGGCAAAAGCACAAAGAGCAAAGCCGGGAGCAACACACCCAGCACCTGACAGAATTCTGCCCCTGTGCTAGGAATGGAGTAGCGGGCTCAGCGTGCACATGCCTAGCATTTGCAACTCAGAAAGCAGAGGTGCAAGGCCAATGCAGAATGCCTTCCCAACTCCAGCAGCCAGCCCTTCACCCCTCTTCCACATACCTGCGCTCTGCTGTGATTTCACCAAGCGAGTGGCCCGTTCTATGCACACGATTAAACAGCCAGTCACCTTGGGATCCAGTGTGCCACTGTGCCCTGTCTTCTCTACGCGGAGTATGCGTCGGATCCAGGCTACCACCTCATGAGAAGAGGGGTTAGAGGGCTTATCAAGATTAATGAAGCCTGTCCTAGAATGGAAAGAAACATTCATGTACTACCTGCTCTTGTGCTCTAAAGCAAAAGGAAAATAAATTTAAAGGGTTAAAGATAAGTTCACCACAGATGTCAATTATATGTTCAGGGCAAAGCCATTCTAAGATGGCACAACCTCCATGAACAACTGAAAAGAATGTTAAGTGTGAACAGTGCTTGCTCCCGACACTTACCTGATATAGTCCCCAAGCTCCCTCTTCAGAGGGTTTGAACCACAAGGAAGAGGTGTGTAATGTGTTGTCCTTACGTTGAGCTTATCAAAGTTCTAGAAAGCAACAATGCAATACAATTAAGCTGAATACTATAGCACAAACATGCATAAAACAACAGCACCACCAACCCTGACATGGTAACCTTTCACAAATCTGGATTTCTGCTCCTGGATTACCATTATTTTCAGTGACAGGAAACTAAACCTCCGGAGATACTGGGAAAATCCCAAATATTAGTAAAAACAAGACAAACTTGCTCACTTATTTTTTTAACTCATTGCTCTAGAAAGAGTTTTGCTGGGTTACTTCAGAACAGATTGGGTTTCACCATGCAGGATTACGAATTTTTAAAATATGGAATAGCTCTGATTTTCTCAAGGACAAAAGATAGCCAAACTGAGAATGACTGGCAATGTTTCTCAACATAGCCAGCTTGCTTCTGCTCCAGATGCCTCTACCTCTGCTCCTTATCCAGCTGTTCCTTTTCAGTCCCCTCTCTTGAGGCTTGGCCACCCACCAGTTGGGAAGAACTCTCACCAGTTTAGCTTCATTATGCTACATATTACAAATAGCAGTGTTTTTACTGTCCACTTCCCATGCCTCAACGTTATTTTTCCTCACAGTAGAGACCTTGCCTACCCAGTCTACTAACACATTTCAAGGGTCAATGACAGAAAAGCAGGTGCTGCCTACACAACAGTGATATCTACCCAAGCAGAAACACAAACTCTTTTTATATGATATAAGCAAATGGGCCGGGCATTTAGCTCAGTGGCTCTGCCGCCTGCCTCGCAAGCGTAAGGTCCTGAGTTCGATCCCCAGTACCAAAAAAAAAAAAAATGATATAAGCAAACCCCATTCTTTCACCAAACCGTACGCAGTGGTTTAGTAACTCTCCATCAAGGGGCAACTAACTTTTTCTCCAAGTCTCATTGCTGGTATCCATTTTAATTGTAAAAATTATAGAAATAGTATAATTCAACCCATTACTCAACTACTTCATTTAAACTCCCAAATAAAAGCCAATAGTTTAAAGACATACTACATGCTAGGAACTGTGGCTAACCATGTTCTGAAACCCTCAGAACATCTTTCCAAGATTTGAGCAATCACAGAAAAGTAAATGAACGGCCCCAGGTCACATACAGTCCAACCCAAATGGATCAGGCTTCAAAGCTCTTAAACACTATAGCATTCCTATTTCAAGTGTGGCGCCCAAACTAGCACAGTTGACAAGATGTACTTCATCTTCAGAAGGGGTACTACTCAACTGCTCACACATTTTGACAGCAATTTACTACTGTGCTGACATTAACACTGTGTCCTATAAGTGTTGGGAATACTGAGTAACATGATCATTCATTTCAGGTACCTTGAAGAATGGTGCTTTAGACTGCATCATCTGGCTAGTTACTAAAATTAAAGACGTTAATAGTACGCTTTCTTAACCAACTGTTTAGCACTTATAAACAAGGCAAAAGCCACTCACTAGATGCACATGGCACATACCTTGAGCAACAGAGGCCACTGCGATGTGTCCAACTGAGCCACTTTGGATTCTGGCTTGATAAGAAATTCCTCAGCGTGTTGTATTTCCTTCCACAGAACATAAACATTAACCTATTAGATCATCTCACCTGACTTTGAACAATTTCATTACTACTACAGAAGTGCATGCCTTTCAAACAGAAAATAAAGCTTTCTGTGGCTCTTCACTAGCGCCTCCAAGAAAGACAAGAAACCAATCAGGAGTCATAGGGGAAGTGACATGCCTCTAAGATGGGTCCAAATATTTAAAAAAGGGTAATTGTATGGCTGTGGGCGCGACAAAGAAGAGAAATTCTGGGAGAACCCCTGGTATGGCCAGCACCATTTAGGAAACTATACCCGGCATAACCGGCAGCTTCGCTTGTCTGAGGTGGTTATTATTTCAGTGATTCGTTGGTTCTAGACGATGATCACCCAAGACAGCCCATTTCTTGGAACATCCAAACTACTTATTTTCTTTAGCTGTTATTTAAGTAAACTTCATTTTGTAGTAAAAGCAAAGTAAAACATATCCTACTCACGGCCACATCTTCTTCTTGTAAAGATTTCCGGTCCTTTTTCTTCTTATGCTTCTTTGGCAAAACAATTACTAAAAGAAGCAAACAGCAGATAGGACAAAACAAAGCTAAAAATGAAGATGGAAGTCGAGGCAGGCAGAAAGCGCCTGAGTTCAGCACTGCAGGAGAACACGTAAGCCTGCCAAGCCAGCCCCTGGGTGGCCGCACCGGCCCGCACGTGTCGCTTCCTTCCGCTCCACCACGTGGCCGCGGCCCCCCACACACACACCTGCGCCCGCGCCCGAAGGTCGAGCTCGGCCGGCCACAGCGCTGCTGTCGCGAAGGATCGGGCTCTCGAGGGCTTGCTTGCAACCCGGCCCCCGACCCCTCCTGCCGCACCTGTTCCCAGCACCCGCGCTCCGCTCTCAGCCGACACGGCGACCCGAGCCCCACGTGGAGTCCCGTCGCCGGAAGGTCCGGACCCGCTGAAGCCAGCTCACCGCGAGGGCTCGAGCCCTTGGCGCACTCGCCCGTGCACTCCGGTCAAGACGCGGGCGGCCTACGGCCCGACGGCGAAGCAGCCGCCACACCAGCGGGAAGGGGCGGCGAGCCTGGGCCCCGGGGCTACGCCGCCGACCCCGGCTCGAGACCTCACACGGCCACCGGGCCGCGCGCGGCGCGGGCGCATCCACCCTTACCTTCCGCGTCCGCCATGTTGCACCGCACCGCACGCTTGCACACCGGGCCACCGCCGAGGTTGCGACTGCAGACTCCCGCCGCCGGCGTCCCGTCAGGCCGCGCCGCTAAGCCCCGCCCACCCACACACCGCCCCTTGCGTGCCGCGCCGTTGGGCGGGAAGAGGCGGGACCATTTCGGGGTGGAACCTGAGGTGCGCGCGCGGGTCGTAGGCTCAATTCCCATTGGCTAGCTCGGCCCCTGCGGGGGGCGCACCTGCGCATGCGCCCCGAGACTCGTCCAGCCCCTGGCGGTCCGGGCTGGAAGCGCGAGCCTCGGGTCCCACCGCCTGGAGCGTGTGGGCGTGGCCTCGTCGCAGCTCTCTGGCGGATTCCCAGTTTAATTCTGGCCTTCGTAGCTGGACACTGGTTAGAGCTCTGCGAATAGCAGCTGATTGCTTTCACACGCAGATCCTGTCAGTCTGGGGTCCGATCAGTCTCGATTGAAGGAGTAAGACGTTGAGCTCAGAGGGTTGAAAGTCCTTTTCTGGTTGGAATTTGACGCCGCTCCAGGCGGCGCTGGCCAATAGGAATAGAATGCGAGCCACAAGAAAGAACAGTAAAAAGAAAAGGGTGAAATTGATTTTTTAAATGAATGGTATTTACCCGTATGTATGCAAGATAATGGCATTTCAACATGTAAGCAATACGTAACATTATAGTTTACCATTCTTTTCACACTAAGTCTTTCCAGTGTGTGTTTTACACTTAGCCTCCATTTGAGCCCTGTAGCTGGGCTCCATGTCCAGGGTTCAGTGGTTAAAGGTCGATAGCGGCTGCTGCAGTGAGGGACTTGTTGCAAGGCAAAAACTGAAAAGTATCACATAATGTTCATGAGAATCCCTAGTATCAACCAATCCATCGGTACTTTTCCACTTCCCAATTGTTCTAGACTTTAGTGGTGCATATGTGGCTGAGTGAATTCGAGATAACCATTTGTGTTTCTCCTACAGGCTCCATCTTTCTCACACACCTATCCTGAAACCTGTTAGCAAAACCAGTAAGCTCGGCTTGCAGAAGAAATCTAGACACGAGTGAACCTTCTCTCTTCTCAGTGGTGTCACGGTCCTTACTTTCCTAGATTTTTCCGGTGGCCTCCTCTAGGTCTACTTCCTATTTCCAGTTACAACTTCCTCTCAACACAGAAGCTTGAAAGGGCCACAAAACTAAACCAGGCCATGTCCCTTTCATGCTCACAATCCTCTAGGCTTCCCATCGGTAGGAAATGGAAGATGGGCCCCCAAGCTATGTCCACAACCTGACCTCCAGATACTGTGAAAGTGACTTTCTTTGAAAGAGGTCTGTGAAAAATGTAATGAAGGTAAGGATCTTGAGATGAGCTCATCCTGGATTACCCAGGCAGGACCCAGACCCCATGACAACTGTCCTTACAAGAGAAGGGAAAACACAGAGAAAGACCCAGGTGAAGATGAGGGTGGACAGTGGAATGTTTTCAGATTTCTAGCTCCTAGAACTGCAAAAAAAGTTAATTTCTGTGGGTTTTAAACCACTTGATTTGTGAATAATCTGTTCTAACAGTCGTAGGAAACTAATGCACCATCTCAGTAAGAGTAAATGCCTAAGTTCTTACAATGATTCTCCTGCGTTCACGGCCTTCACTCATGCTCTTAACCGTACCATCCTGCCAAGATGTCCCTTAGCTGTTCCTTAGCATCGCAGGGCCTTTGCCCATCTCCAGGCTTCTGCATGGCGGGGTCCCTCAGCTTCGAATGCACTTTAGTGTCTGTGTCTCCACTAGAATGCTAGCATTATGAAGGCAGGATAGTTTTGTCTATTTTGTTCACTGCTATATACGCAACTCCTAGAGGACACAAGCTGGAACCAAACTGGATTCTTCCCTAGGATTTGTTTCGGTTTTTTTGGGTTTTTGGGTTTTTTTGGTACTGGGGATCAAACTCAGGTCCTTGTGCTTGCGAGGCAGGCAGCGGAACCACTGAGCTAAATCCCCGGCCCTTGTTTTTGTCTTTTGAGACAAGGTCTCATTATGTAGTTCAGGCTGGCCTTGAACTCACTGTGTAGCCCAAGCTGACCTCAAACTCATGGTAATCCTCCTGCCTCAGTCTCCTGAGTGCTGGGATTACAGGGATGCACCACCACACCAAGGATTTTAAGGTGAGGAAAAATATGTCTTAAAGTTACATTTGCTACATTGTGTTTATGGTAGCACAATATTTTAAGAATCATAGTAGAAGAAGGCCACTTATCACTGTTTTGGATAGTTGAAATGGCAAACAATCAAATTCCTTGAATTTTTGACTTAGACTGAGGACAGAATTTCTATAACTGCTCAAGAAATCACTTAACACTTATAGCACAAGAAAAAAAAAGCTTTTGTGTTTTAATCTATTACCACTCCAAATTATAAAATTCCATAAATTCACAGCCCTGCCAGCTCTCTGAGTAAAAGTTAGGGCAATGATCAGAAAAGCACAGAACACTGAGATTTGAAATGGGAATAAACAGGATAATTGGGAGGACTGGGACGTAGCAGAATCCCCAACTCCTATTGAGCCTCCATTGTTTGAATAAAAACAAAAGACACTGCCTTGTTCTTTGTCTGATTGTATGCTACCCCTTTTCATTTTCCTCAGGTACAATTCTCCCACCCCAGTGTCTCCAGACCTCTAACTAGAGTTAACCTCTACACTGCCTCTAGAAAACAATTTGCAAAGACAAATGCAACAGGAGAAAGTTTTCATATGAAAACAATAGTAGGAGTCTGCAAATAGATATGGGTAAACAGGACGTATTTGCATGATTAAACTTTGAAGATTCTTGAACAGAAGAGGTTGAAAAGGCATTGTTAAATCAGGCTGAATTATTAGTATAGACGCTGGAGTGGAGAGGATAAGAATAACATAGTCATTCATTATTAAGTATTACATCCTATACATAATTCTCTGTGCTATACTTTTTATACAACAGTTGTCGGGAGCAATGCCACATAATTTTAGGGAAAAATCATTTGGTTAGCCTAGTTCTCCTGTCTACAGCCCAGCTATGGCATTCCAAGACATAATTCCATTTTGACCTCCGGTCACAACTGAGACCTCAATGATCCGGTGATGCTACAATGCTCCAGGACCAGATTACACCAGTTGAAGACATACTGGGAGGAACAAAATCTTCATCTACTCAATTCCTCATTGTTCTTGGATTGTTACTTCTCGTTTACAACGATGAACTCAACTCTCTGCAAGTCATTTGTTACATGTTTCTCCCGATGTACTGAGGTAAGCTGGAGGCTTTCGTCTTTGCTCCCCAGAGCAGCACTGATCAGACCCAAAGCTCAGCTTCTTCTCAAAGTCTCATTTGTCTACCTTTCCTGAAGTTTGCCTTGTGCTGCCGTGGCTCTCAGGAGACTAAGACTTACTGCAGAGGTTCTAGTAACGTCCCCTTTCCCTGTTCCCTACAAACAGTGGGCTTATTTGCACCAACACCAGCACAGACACATGAGTAATGTGTTGCTCTATAACATCACTAGGCAATAGGAAATTTTTAGCTGCATTGTAATCTTTTGGGACCACCATTGTATATGTGTTATGTGGTGCATGGCTGTATTTTGTTTCCAAGTAAAGAAGCTTTCCCTTGCTCTCTTAACCAACAATGAAATGGATTGGAAAGGTGGAATGGGCTCAAGAAGTCAATAAACAACATTTTTTTTTTTTGGTACCAGGGATCAAACTCAGGACCTTGCGCTTTCGAGGCAGGCGCCAGAACCACTGAGCTAAATTCCAGCCCAGCAACATCTTCAAAGAATGAATTTGACACATACAGTTGGTTTTTCCTATCTGTTGATCCCAAATCTGAGGATTCAATCAAACACGGATCAAAAATACTTTTCATCCTGGGAGGCTGAGACAGGAGAGCCCCAAGTTCAAGCCCAGCCTGGGGAACTTCGTGACTTACTGAGAACTTGTCTTCAAATAAAAACATAAAGGGGCTAAGGATAGAGCTCAGTGCAAAGGTGCTTCAATCCTAGTACCACACACACACACACATACACCAAAAAAAAAGTCTTTAAAAAATGTGTCTTTACTGAAAATGTACAGATGTTTCTTCTTGTCATTATTCCTTAGGCAATACTATATCACAGCTATTTACATGGCATTCACATGGTATTAGGCATTATAAATCATCTAGAGATCATGTAGAGCATATTGGAGGATATGTGCAGCTTATGTGAAAATGCTATACATTTTGTATAAGGGACTTGAACATCCGTAGATTCTAGTACCCAAGGAGGTCCTGGAACCGGTCCTCTCCAGTTCTGGAGGGATAACTGTGCAGATATCAACTGACACAGATTTAGACCCACACTGTGTGAGTGAGTGAGGATAAACGTGTACATCTCACGAGCGAACATAAAGGACAGGCCTCCAAGTTGCTTATATCTCATCTCCCTTCCATAGCACGGTGCACATAAAGTTATATTCTATAAGACTTGAGTGAAGGACTGGAGAGGTCAAAAACAGAAAAAACAACTTAAAGAAAGGGATTTAAAACAATAGGTGTAAATATGACTCTTCTTGCACTCCAAGAGAAGAGTCGGTAACAGCATAAGCTCTTCACATTGTGCCCCTCATAGAAGCTCTTAAATTCCCAACCTATTCTCCTGCTCTCATACCCCATAGTTATGACTGGTTGTAAAATGTTTCACTAGTCATATGTGGTAGCTGTAGTTAGCAGTACCAGGCACAGAGGCGCACACCCATGATCCCAGCACTCTGGGAGGCTGAGGTGGAGGACTGCAACTTTGAGTTCAGTCTAGGCAACTTAGCAACTTAGTTTGAGACTCTGCCTCAAAATTAAAAAAAAAAAAACAACAACTATAAAAAGGCTGGGGGTGTAGCTTAGTGGGAAAGCCCTGGGCTCAATTCCCAGAACCACAAAAAAGAAGAATAAAAGTTGGCTACATAACAACCATCCTTTTCCTTGTCTTCTTTGTTAGTAAAGCCTCAGTTTTATTTAGAACAGCACTATGTCCATGTTTGAGGTATGAATCACGTTGGTATAAGCCAGTGAGATTGTTTGTTTGTTTGTTTGTTTATTGAGACAGAATCTCTCTA